AAAAAAAATCATCCGTTTAAAATACGACTGGCAACTTTCCAAATAGGTTGGCTACATACAACGAAAAGTGGATTTTGTAAAAGAATATGCGACGGTCATCTCAATCATTCGCTGTTTAAAGTTTCCCTGAAATCGATATTGCGCCAAAAAAGCAATGGTGACTATTTGATATGAATGTGTCATCACTACAGTTTATTGATGTTACAAATGAATGAGATGTACCAAAATGGAATTGTAATATGCCATAAATCAGTCATTGCGGAAAAAGACACGCCTTACCTCTCCGAAACGTATATTACAATGTACTAATATTTCAAAATGGGCTTCAACACCTGAGCTGGATTTCCGTTGGGGAAAAAATAACTTATATCCCGTAAAGCACAGAAGAAGAAAAACTGATGCAACACGTTTTACTTTTAATTGTTGTAAGTCAGGATTAAATTACTCATGATTTTAGTTTAAACGAGTGTAAATATATGCTAACTTGTGAAACGCAAGGTCCTCATTAAAGCACGTCTTCAATTCGTCTTCATTTATGAAATGAAAGGTTCTCTAAATTGCAAGTACTCTTATTCTAATGATTTTTAAAACATACCGTATCAGTTTGTGCAGCGTATAGAATTTGTTGTGGAGAAGCAACAAGTGATAACATTTGCGCGTTACGCCATGCATCTGCAGTTATATTTCTGCGCACATAAACTGTTCCTAACGACGTTAGTGAGCCATGAATCAACTGCAATATGCACCATTTTTTTTATTTTTTTTTCATTGAGGGTTTTCATTCATCCTCGAGAAAACGAATTTCCGACTAAATTAGTTATTAAAAGTTATTTTACTTTCCTCTCCTTCAGTTACAAAGTGGCACAAAAGCAATGGTACCGCACAGCGATACCTGACAACTGTTTAATGATTGAATACACTGGAAGCAATCCACCTGAAAGATTTTTCAAAGAGGTGGAGGAAAACAAAAGTCACCCTATTTAAAGGTCCTAAATCTTCGGCCAATTTCTTCCAGGGATTATCGTATTCAATAATCATTTGTCCTAATCTCGGAAAAGTAGGTTCACTTTGTCCATTACACAGTTCATATGCAGCGTTGAATAATCCGAGAACAGCTTTCCTATCATCCACGCGAGATAAGAGCACCATCAAGCACACCAAATTAATCACCAAATTCATGTAACCTGCTGTTAAATCGTAGCTTGTTGTCTGCAACCATGTTTTTTGGTTAATTGTTGTCACCGCTCAAGTCCTCTTTGTTGAAAGTACTAATTAACGAAGATTTAGTGTAGAGCTTAAGAGCACTGTCTTCTTAGTAAAGAGAAAAAAAAAAAGAAAATTACTATATCTAGTTTGAACTGTGCAGCATCCATTGTTGTTAGTAGCTGTAGGATGTGATCTTTCAAATCTAGCAAATCAGCAAATGTACAGTAATAGAGCGAGAGAGATTTCAATATTTCCTGCTTTATTAAAGTTACTTGATGAAATAACGTCTGAAATAATTTTAAGTGACAAAATCCACTCGATGTCTCAGACATTGCATCAGAATAATCTTCAAGCAGCATTTATGGATTACTGTTTAACTATGTTGTACGCACATATTTTGCCGAAAAAAAAAAATTAACCTTGCACACTGAATTACTGCTCTATGATCTTATTCAAAAACTAGGATTACCACGCATTACCACAAGAATGCCGAACGGTATGTTGCATGAAAGAAAAATATACCAGGCAAAATTTACTCAACAATCATCTACTTATCTAAAATGACTGTTAATTATATAACAGTCACTTGCATGAAAGTAAGTTATACCATAGTCATTTCTGAAAAGTGGGATAAAAACTATCTCTTCTTCAAAAGTTATATAAAACAACCACTTGATCGAAAAAAAAAAACAGAACGGCAGTAAACTCAATATAAAAGATGAGCAAAGCTTACACTGCTTGATCTGGCATCAACAATGGGGAATTTGCGCACTATATGCTTAATGCAATTTTCCAATGATTTCTCGCTTAAAAACTGCGGTTTTGATTTGGGATCACCGCAAGCTTTCTTGATATTATATAGCCTTGTAAGCATACCCACTGCTCGATCATTCAGTATAATCAGCTTCTCGGCTATTTTCATCTGCGTCACATCCACTTTATATGCCATCTTCTACACACGATATTTTTGACTTCTCTGATACCCTGGAAATGCAATTAAGAAATAATCAAATAGGAGAGAAAGAAAGACAGCAATGAAATATAAAAACCCAGTTGTCCGGAATTTTGATCCAAATTCAACTTAACTAAACAGAAAACAAATTACAATAGATGATAATTGGTAATTATGAGATGAGACTGTCTGTTAATTCTGCAACGGTAAGATGATTATAAAACCTGGCTATCTGTCTCCCACAATAACTGCTCTATATATCCAAAGGACCCTTTTGTCACACAATACCGCCAGCAATCAAATAGAGATGAAAAGGAGTAGGGAAGGCAAAATACTGGAAAAGTAAGTAGTGCAGCATTTCCCCAAAACGACACCATCCCTTGGCGGGCGGTATTGATAAAGTCTTGCAAATATCTTAGGCGAAGAATGCACCAGTGTTAATTCCTTTATAAATAAATCAATCGGGATAACATCTGGATTGTTAAAGTACTGATACACTGCAAGAAGCAGGGTACAACCTGATAAACGAAAAAATAATGAATATATGGCTGCTAAAGCCCACCTTGTCTCCCGAAGCGGCATAGCGCATTTTAAACAATGTATTTTTCTGTGAGTACTTTATTGTTTTTTGTGGTATGGGAAGTATTTGGTGTGAGGAGGACGTGGATCCATTCCTAATTTACTGTTCATAACCCAGTTACATTCCTGATTTACCGTTAATAACCCAGTTATATTCCTGACTTATTGTTGTTAACCTAGTTACATTCCTATACCGGACTTTTTATTTTAAATTTGGTGAGCTTACTTTGTTTCTGGCGGAACTTACATTCACGTTTATTCTCATTTATAACAATCATTATTCAACAAACTATCTAGTAGTGTTGTTGCTTTTTGATTTAATTCAAATATGTCTGAACTTTCTATGCTGATACATTAATGCAATAAGCAATAAAGGGAAATTTGGTTTTCAATCAGTCTCCTTCTGTCGCTAATTTGGTGTTTTCCTCCTTAAGCAATAAAGGGAAATTTGGTCTTCAACTAGTCTCCTTCTTCTGTCGCTAATTTGCTCCTTTCCACTTCCCTTCGGCAGCGAAAAAAATTTGTTAAATACAGGTTCCCTTAAATTATTCGACGATTTTTGAAAATGATATTCATCGAACAGGTTAGGTCACATATTTTAAGGGTTGTAATTTTGGAGCTCTAAAGTTAAATTAGAACCGAGTAATCTGTAAGGTGATTCTTCTTCACTACTTCCTGTATATCTCACCTCACGGTTGAATTTTGGTTATTTTGCTTGCACTTCAAGTTTTAAGGTACGAGGTGCGAATGCACGTTCATGTCTGCTGATGAATCAGATGTAATTTGCATTGAGGATGAAGAAAATATAGAAGGAAATGGGGTGAAAGATTTTAACAAGTAATTTGTTCTTCTTTTCCTATAGCGTCTAAAAAGAAGAAATTTTTCTTACATATGCAGTCAGTTACTTTCTTTGATCCGGGGAACTACACAAAGCTTGTTGATTCTGCAGAAAATTCCAAGTACTGACATTTAAGAAAAATTAGACGGTTCTTGGCTTCCATTATTTACCTCATTTTTTGTTTCAGTGGTCCTGTGTGCCAAAAAAGTTTCTCCAAAAATGTGTGTGGTTCGTTTTCACCAGAAATAGCTGATTCAAAAAAGAATGATGGCGGTACTAATGGCTGTGAACAGTTTCGCATATCACTTTCGCAGTTACCAAACAGTTCTGATAAGGTTTTCACGTTAAAAATGAGAGCACATTCATGTAAATCGTTTATGAATATCTCATAAATTCTAAGTAAAGAAAACCGCTCTCTATCCTGTTCTAAGTAGAGAAAACCATATTTTAGTCCGGTGAAAGAATTCCTGTGTAAAATATTGTCATGTAGCATTGACAGGTTTTCATTAATATTTACTGTTTGCTGAGGAGTGATCTCAAAAAACCTAAAACCTTTAATCACTTTTGCCATTCAATGTAACTTTGGAGGAGTTGGAGGGAGGGGGAGGGGGTGTTTTTTTGTTCCCCTTCTTGAAGTTTTCATCTTCCATTATTTAGTAAAAAACAAAGATTTTTTTTATTTTTTCATAAATTACTATCAAATTCATGCTGTTTTCCGATGAGCAGCCTTGTCGAGGTCCACTTGCTCCCTTTTATCCAGCGAAAATATTAAACCAAATGCAAGGAATTTGTTGTATGCGAGTAAACACTTTTCTGGCTTATTGATATAGGCCATTCTATCATAGAGACCCTAAACTTTACTAAGTGTGCAATAGTATACTTGATGTTTCATAAAAGCGTTTATTTCTTACTGCTATGAAAATATACATTTTTTATGGTAAATATAACATTTAATTTAAGAGCAATAGTGTATATGCATAACAAACGTTAATTGGCGATTGCGATACAACAAGCTACACATTATTTCTTTGAAGCAGTATTTCGAATTGTATTTCGGATTTCATTGAGGTACTGAATAGTCAGTTCCATTAAAATATTTAATCTGTTAAATTTTCAGGTGGTTCAAGAAAAAGAGCAGAAAAAACGTGATAAAGCTCATCGAGTACCCTCTATTTTAGACGAATTTTTTGGTGTCTATTGTTTGTTGAGTCGAAGTTCGAACAGATATTTCAAGGTATTTGAAGTATTTGACCTTAATTTACATGCAAGCTTTGCAATTTTAAATTTTGAGGGAGTTTTCACTGAGTACTTATAATATACTTTGTCTCTGTTTACAATTTCAGAATCGTTGTTACATTGGTTATACTGTCAACCCTAATCGACGTATACGGCAACATAATGCTGGGAAAGAATTTGGAGGAGCGAAAAAAACGGATCATAGAGGACCATGGTATGTTTTCATGCTTTTGTAAATAAAATTTAGGGGTAGATATTTGATACTGGTATGAAAAGTACTGTTTGTGATTATTTCTGATTGGAACTGTCTTTCTGAAAATTGTTACATTATTGTGATTTAAAATATCGAATGAATTAAATTTTTTTGGCTGTGTTATGTCTCGATCTTAGGGATATGGTATGCATCATACATGGTTTTCCAAACAATGTGTCTGCATTACGATTCGAATGGGCTTGGCAAAATCCAGAGAAGTCGAGAAGGCTACGACCTTTGAATTTAAAAAAAAAACGAATGAAACTGCTTTTGAATTTCGTTTGCGTATTGCTTGCCATATGTTGAATAGCGATCCGTGGCGACGCCTTTCACTTACATTCCGATGGCTATTACCTGTAGGTTTAGAAGTTTAAAAGAATTGGAAATATGTTTGGCAAAATATCCCGTGGCATCATCCATACATTTTGTTTAGGAACTGGAAATTCCATTCCCACTGGATGTTCTACCTCCTTCACATATCGCTGTGGAACATGGCGCTGTGACAAAAATATCGACAGTAATACCTCAGTTGCGGGAAGAATATGATGTCATTGGAATTTGTTCGCTTTGCTTAAAGTCAATAAATTCGGTGAGTTGTCAGCTAAAATAATGGGCATTTTATGGTAATTGCGGTATCAGATTTTCGAGAATAATTTCCTATTATGTTCGAGCTCTGATTGTTGTTTACTGCGAACATACTAGAAATTGCCTGGAAGTCTTCAAAAAAATTTTTCCAGATCTCTGAATTGCTTCGTTGTAGCGCCACTGAAATATGCAAATCTCATTTCCACATGCGATGTTTGTCGAAATACGCTTTGAATGCTGATGACGAATACAAAAACCTTGTTGTTTCCTATTCAAGGGCAGTGTCCCAAATGTGGTATGACTTACCTATGGGGTGAGTTGGTCAGGGACCAGCGAATTTTATTGGCAGTTAATAAGTCTAATTCAAACGGCACATTATTCAATATGATACCTCGTGGTAAACTCACTAAAATGTAGTTGGAAATTGGACTGAAATGGCACACAATTCAGATAAAAAATGAC